AGTGTATCCACTCAGCTACTAAGCATTCGCTGGGTTTCCAGAAACCACAAGAGGCACTCTGAACATCGGACAGCTGTTGGATCATATGTGGGTGGCTTTCCAATCGAGGCCCACTTTTTACGTAATTGCCAAAAACAATACGGCGCCCCGATGAAATGACCATAAAATGACCCTAATTTAGAGGACCACCCCTAAACCCTAAAACCCTAAACCCTAAACTGACTCATCCCTGTTGCACCCAGGCTGGGTCCTAAAGGCTCCTTTAAGAAAAGGCCCCCCGGGCCCCACTTGTGCACCCTTGCTGAAAGATTCACCCAAAGGGTCCTAGGTACTGTTATGGGGGATACTTCCCTAAATCATAATTAGTAATTCCTAATATGGAAACCCTACATTCTACTATAAAGGTACTTTGGACCCTTTGGGTCATGAGGCCTTCATAAGGGTTTGATGGGGCCTGGGTGGGGCTGCATAGGAATTTGCTACAAGGCTCAAAATGGCTCCGGTTGTCGTTTCTTTGTTTGGGCTGACCTGCTTGTGCCGGCGCGCCATGGCTCAGCCGCGGGTTCGGGTGCATTCGTTTTTTTGCTTGAGGGGGGGGGGGGTTGGGTTCGGGTTCGATCATTCCCACTACATGCCACTAGGACTCGACTACCACTACCACTACCACTACCACTACCACTACCACTACCACTACCACTACCACTACTACGACCACTACCACTACCAGTCCCCTACTACGACTACTCCTGCTGCTACGACGACGACTACTACTACTACTACTACTAGTACTACTCCTACTAGTACTATCTACTACTACTACTACTACTACTACTACTACTACTACTACTACTACTACTACTACTACTACTACTACTACTACTACTACTACTACTACTACTACTATGGGCTACATTTTTTTGGAGGGTGGGTTCCGATTCGGGTTCGGGTTTGGGCTGCACCCCTTCTGGAGGGGAAGGGGCGGGTTCCGGTTCAGGTTCGGGTTCGGGCTGGCGCTACATTTTTTTGCATTTTTTTGGAGGGGGGGTGTTCCGCTTCAGGTTCGGGTTCGGGTTTGGGCTGCACGCCTTCTGGAGGGGAAAGGGGGGGGCGTTCCGGTTCAGGTTCGGGTTCACGCTTGTGGTTGTGGTTCAATAGTACTACTAGTACTACTAGTACTACTAGTACTACTAGTACTTCTAGTACTTCTAGTACTTCTAGTACTTCTAGTAGTACTTCTAGTAGTACTACTACTACTACTACCACTACCACTACTACTACTACTACTACTACTACTACTACTACTACTACTACTACTACTACTACTACTACTACTACTACTACTACTACTACTACTACTACTACTACTACTTACTACTGCTACTACTGCTACTACTGCTACTGCTACTACTGCTACTACTGTTACTACTGCTACTACTGCTACTGCTACTGCTACTGCTACTGCTACTGCTACTGCTACTGTTACTGCTACTGCCACTACTACTACTACTACTACTACTACTACTACTACTACCACTACTACTACTACTACTACTACTACTACTGCTACTACTACTACTACTGCTGCTGCTACTACTACTGCTGCTACTACTACTACTACTACTGCTGCTGCTACTACTACTACTACTGCTACTGCTATGGGCTACATTTTTTTGGAGGGGGGGGTTCCGGTTCAGGTTCGGGTTTGGGTGGGGCTCGTTATGCAGCCACGGCTTCATGGATTGCCGACGGTTTAAGGTTTAGAGTTTAGGGGTTAAGGGTTTAGTAATTTGCTTCCCCACAGCTCGGAATCAGCACACATCGAATCGCGGGTCCGCAGGCCAGCAAGGGACCCGTGCTTGTAAGCCCGCGTCCTGCTTTTGTTGCAGAAACCTCGCACAAAGCCCTCTTGAAACGGATATTGTCACCATACGGCTAACGTCTCCAAGCCTACTTTGTACTTGGAGTCCTAGAGCCAAACACGCGAAACACTAAGCCCTGCACCCTCGACCCTGAACGCGCAAGGCACCTCATATCTTGAGAATCGCCACATCAACACAACTATATAGGCCTAAATCAAATCATTCAAGAATTTATACAATCCCACAAATCACAAACCCTAAGCCCAAAACTCCTTAACTCCTGTGACCCGAGACGCTTACTAGCCCTCAAAATTCTCACAAATCGGCGCTGCAGGTGCACGCCTCGCCCTCGGCGCCTGAGTAACGGCTGGCTTTGGGCTTTCGCCGTAGGAACTTAAACCTCCAACCGCCACGGTGTAGGGTTTAGGGTTTAGGGTTGCTCACCCCTAAACCCTAAACCGTAAGGTAAAAGCCAGAAAGTTGGAATATGATTATCCTAAGCCATTTATGGTAAATTCGCCTCGGGTTCCCGGCCGAATCGGTCAGAGGTTCCTGTTCGGATTTCCTCTATTCCCCACCTCTTAATCCCCTCCGCAGTGACCCCACCCCCAAAATCCTAACAACCCCCCCCCCCCTAAAAATGGAAACGTGTCAATGAGCCCCAAGGTCCGGCGGTGAATTTTCGCCTTTTCCAGTGGATTTTGGCTTTCTGTGGGCAGTCCCACCCAATTTTCTTCGCTTCCCCTCCCTCCCCCTCCCCCTCCCCCCCCCCCTTCTCCCCCCCCTTCCCCCCCGCCTCCTCCCTTCCCTCCCGCCCCGCTCGCTGACAAGTGCGAGCTTTCGTAGCATCTTTATGTGTTGGGGCTCGCCTTTAAGGCTGCAGTACCAAACGAGTTTCAAACCTGAATTCCTAACCCTACACCCTAACCCCAGCCTGAAAAATTGGGGCTCGCCTGTAAGGCTGCAGTACCAAGGGAGTTTCAAACCTGAATTCCTAACCCTACACCCTAACCCCAGCCTGAAAAACTTTCAAAGCCCGGACAACACCTGCACCCGAAAGCACGACGCCCCCCTCTCCCGCCCTTCCCTAATCCAAGACGTCCACGAAATCCACAGCCTCAACGGCCCATACTTAAGGCATCCCGCCGCTTGCGAGAATCTTGGTATCCAGTGTTTCGGAATGACGACACCAAAATTCGTACCAATCATCCTGCTTCGTGTTGCTATGAACATTATTTTTACTATAAGTGCGATTCCAACTGTTCCTTTTTTCCTACGAAAGCTTGCTACAGATAGTGGCCACTCGCCGCATGCGCGTACAGCCGGGCCGAGGCGGACGACGCACAGCGTTTCAAATTATAAGGTATCCTACCCTGAAACCATATTCCAACTTTCTGGAGTTCCCTGTAACCGCTGAAGACCCAAAACCTGAAACCTTGACTGACAGGGTGGACTTTACAAAGGACCTTTCCGGGGTTCTACATGGGTTTTAAAAAGCGGCCATAAGGCTTGGCAAAGGTTATATGAGAGTTTCCGAAAAGAAGGGGTACCTTGTTTTGGGGTCCTTATAATAAGGATCCTACTGTTTAAATCTTTTCTGGGGGTCCCTTATTTTCGGAACCTCCCATATTTTAGAAGATTAATGTAACTAAGCCAGCCACAGGACTGTACAGCAAAGAATATGGTTTCACCATGAGTCCTGGCAAGGCATTCGGTTGAAGTTACGATGCTCGTTGTGGCGCAGTAAGTCATATGTCTTGGCAAAACCCAGTTGCGCCTTTCTCATCCTTTCCTAGCCAACCCTCTTTCAAGATATAAATCCATTGAGCAAATGTAGCAAACGTGAGTGAACATCTAGCAAAGCAAACGCTCTTTTTGGATTTGAACCCTGATGGCCATGTAAACCCTGAACCCCAAAACCCTAAAACCCTAAACCCTAAAGATCAAAACCTATAAGTATATATATATATATATGTATATATAACACAAAAACCCAAAACCCCTAAACCAACAAACCCTGTCCCTTGATAGCAATGAAACCAACCAAACTACCGCCATTTCGTGGGACAGTTTTGTGCTCAGTTTCCCCATGGGTCCAAGCAGCCAATCATCAGATACTCTCCACAATACTAACCTGCAAAACTCCCTAGGGCCAAACCCTAAACCCTAACTATTGGGTCCTTTGGGTCCTTCGGGTTTTGGCTTGGAAAGTCTGCCTCTTGAAAGGTTTATTTCCACACATGGTGGGGGCCCAGGATGTTTGGCGGTGGATGGGTAGGCGTAGTAGGGCTAAGGTTTAAAGTTTAGGGTCATCAAGTAGATCTACTCATGAACCTCCAAGTACAAGTGTGCCCATGCACCCTTAGCACTCAACCCGTGGCACTTCCCGGTGCCAACCAACTAACATCGAGCACTGGTACGTCCCCCATTTTATAAAAGCCAAAAGCCGAAACCCCCAAAATCGAGGCAGGTTGTGGAAATCCCATCCGGAGGCAATCTGCAGTGTATACGTGTTTCGGAGACACAGATCTCATGTAGAAGGACCTCTAGCCTGCAAGCCCCTAAGCAGTCCGCCCCTAATTTAGTGAAGCCCGGATTCTAAGCTTGCCCAGGTAATGTTCCAAAACTGTTCGGGTTTCTTCATGCGTTTTTTGTGGGATATTTGAAAATCTAAATACATATTGCCAATACTTCTTCCTTAGAAAGAAGACTACTTGGAGGCCCTTTTGACTTAGTAAGTAGGACTAGTAAGGTGGGTTATGGGGATTATAATAGGGTTTCTAGGGGGTACTAAGTAGACTTACTAAGTCAAAAGGGCCTCCAAGTGTTGCACTACTGCGAAGATGGATTGCGAGGGGGTGCTGGCCTAAAGGGGCTGCTCCTGAGCGCAGACACTTCCTTTTGCCGCCAGTCGCTGCGTTGCAAGCTACCCAGACCTTCCAAAATCCCTTAATTAAGGAATATACCTTAATTCATAATAGGATCCCTAATATAATTTAAGGTATATTCCTTAGGTTTTGGAAGGTCTGGGCGTGCCAAGCACTTGCCAGGGCAGAAGGTGGGCATTTGGAAAGTGTAGCACGTGAACTTCTGAAGGAAAATCTGGAAGCAAGCCACTACTTGTGTCGAGAACCACCTGATTCACTCAACCCTCTGCCTCTGATTTCTTGCCATGTCTACAGGATCATCTGCTGGCCTCCTTTCTCGGATCAAAGCTCCTAGTTCATGGTTGGGATGGGATTGAAAGTTTAAGCTTTTCTTCCTTATTGGGTTTAAGAACCCATAAAAATGTAAAATGTTACCCAACTATGACAAAGATAGAGCCCTAAACCCCTGAACCCTATATAACCCTAAACCCTAGACACCCTAAAGCCCTAGAGCGTATAGAGCCCTAAACCCCTAAACCCAACTATGACAAAGTATACCGGGCTCCTATACTGAACTTAGAACCCTAGCAAAAAAATATAGTTTTAGCTGTTTCTTAGGGATTATAATAACCAAAAATTAAAAATAATTCTAAGTGCCCCTAAGGTTCCTGGGGCCAGCTCAGGGAGGACAAAGCCGTGTGGTCCCAGGCGTCTCCCGCCTCCCTCGGCTCCAGGGGCACGATCCTGAATCCAAGTTAGGGTTTAGGGGTTTAGGGGTTTGGGGTGTAGGGTTTAAGGGTTTAGGATCCTGAACCCAAGAGGCGGTGCTCGAAAAAATGGTTTAGGGTTTGGGGGTTTACGGTTTGAGGTTTGAGGGGATCGAAAAAATGGTTTAAGGTTTAGGACTACCTTAAGAAGCACAGGACATTAAAAAACCAGTAAAACATGCTACTATCGAAAAGCTGGGCTCGGCCGTTTCAGAAGGAATGGCATGATCCTCATCCACAGCAGCGGCTGCAGGATCATTCGCTGGCTCTTGGCACCCCAGCTGTGCTGCCTCGGCAAGAGCCGCTGCAGTCGGGAGCTCATCGTCGTCCACGTTGAAGTTGAGGCCCCCTGGAACCTCAGCCTCTGCATGATGATCAGCATCCTCGTCGTCGGCGTCGGTGGTGTCAGCCTCTCGTTCCTGCGGAAAGGCAGGTTCACGCGGCCCAACAAGCCGAGGCCAAGCCTAGATATCAATCCGTACTCGAGGTTCGTTAACTTCAGCCTATACCGAATCTTAACGTCAGCCTAAACCCAATTCTACGGATCCCATCCGGGATGGGATCTCGCAAAACGTAGAAACCTCGAACCTTCAATCTACCCTGAACCGACCCTAAACCTACACCCTAAACCCTACTTGGAGGCCCTTTTGACTTAGTAAGTCTACTTAGTATCCCCTAGAAACCCTATTATAATCCCCATAACCCACCTTACTAACCCTACTTACTAAGTCAAAAGGGCCTCCAAGTATAAACCATGAACCTTTAAATTGCCCAACATCTTAAACCCAAAGCCCTCCTCCATGTCTTAAAACCTTCATGTCGAGGTCATAACAACTAGAACAAGCCTTGGGCGGTACATGCTTTTATACTTAGAGGCTCATACCCTACCCCTTTTTTTAGGGCGCCTACTTTTTAAGATAACAGATCCTAACCATAAAACTAGGTATCCTAAAAAAGGGGTATAGGGTACGAGCCTCTAGGTAAGCCATTCCATATAGGAAAAAGTTACATGAAAACCTCAGACCCAAAGGAAGGCCCCCCCCCCATGTGAGGTTTTACGTTTTTGTACTTCTGCATCTGCTTGGCCACGAGCTTTCACACAAGGTTCTGAAAAGGGTCTTACATGGGCTAGTCAACCAGTCTCCACTGTCATTGATAGCTTTTATCTTGTCCACGTTGGGGTCCTGCAAAAGGAGTGCAACCTCCAAATGCCCATTCTCACCTGCGATGTACGAAGGTGTAGCGCCATCATGCCTACTCTTGGCCTTGTCAGCATTGGCCTCCAGCAGAAGCCTTACAACCTCCAAGTGACCTTTCTCAGCTGCAATGTACAAAGCGGTGGTGCCATCCTGAATGGCCTTGTCCTTGTCCGCATTGGCCTCCAGCAGAAGCCGTACAACCTGCGACTGTCCATTCTCAGCTGCGATGTACAAAGGGGTGGCGCCATGCTGAGTGGCCTTGTCCTTGTCCGCATTGGCCTCCAGCAAAAGGCGTGCAACCTCCAACTGTCCGTTGTGAGCTGCGATGAACAAAGGGGTGGCGCCATCTTCACGAGCCTTGTCCTTGTCCGCGTTGGCCTCCAGCAAAAGGCGTGCAACCTTCAACTGTCCGTTGTGAGCTGCGATGAACAAAGGGGTGGCGCCATCTTCCAAGGCCTTGTCCTTGTCCGCATTGGCCTCCAGCAAAAGGCGTGCAACCTCCAACTGTCCGTTGTGAGCTGCGATGAACAAAGGGGTGGCGCCATCTTCACGAGCCTTGTCCTTGTCCGCGTTGGCCTCCAGCAAAAGGCGTGCAACCTCCAACTGTCCGTTGTGAGCTGCGATGTACAAAGGGGTGGCGCCATGCTGAGTGGCCTTGTCCTTGTCCGCATTGGCCTCCAGCAAAAGCCGTACAACCTGCGACTGTCCAGTCTGAGCTGCGATGTACAAAGGGGTGGGGCCATCCTGCGTGGCCTTGTCCTTGTCCGCATTGGCCTCCAGCAGAAGCCGTACAACCTCCAAATGACCTTTCTCAGCTGCGATGTACAAAGGGGTGGTGCCATCTTCCAAGGCCTTGTCCTTGTCCGCATTGGCCTCCAGCAGAAGCCGTACAACCTCCAAATGACCTTCCTCAGCTGCGATGTACAAGGGGGTGACACCATCTTTCCAGGCTTTGTCCTTGCCCGCATTGGCCTCCAGCAGAAGCCGTACAACCTGCAACTGTCCATTCTGAGCTGCGATATACATCGGGGTGGCGCCATCTTCCAAGGCCTTGTCCTTGTCCGCATTGGCCTCCAGCAAAAGACGTGCACACTCTACATGCCCATTCTGAGCTGCGATGAACAAAGGGGTGGCGCCATCTTGAAAGGCCTTGTCCTTGTCCGCATTGGCCTCCAGCAAAAGACGTGCAACCTCTAAATGCCCAGTCTGAGCTGCGATGTACAAAGGGGTGGCACCATCCTGCGTGGCCTTGTCCTTGTCAGCATTGGCCTCCAGCAGAAGCCGTACAACCTGCGACTGTCCATTCTGAGCTGCGATGAACAAAGGGGTTTCGCCATCTTCCAAGGCCTTATCCTTGTCCGCACTGGCCTCTAGCAAAAGGCGTGTCACCTCGAGGTGGCCATGCTGGGATGCCACAAACAATCCGGTCAAGGTTGGATTATTAAAACGGACTACATCTGGATCTTGCGGCCTTTGTAGAATACTCTCCACTGCTGCTGCTCGGCCGCTGCCCGCAGCATCCAGAAGCGCTTCCACTTGAGCTTCAGATGTTTGGCAGAAGCCTAGAAGTACAACCTGAACTTCGCCGGGTCTCAACGTGTCTTTGTCATCCAGAACCACATCATCACCCACAAAGGCAATCCTCTGCCTGAACCTTGGCAGGCCGCACATGCTGTGCAAGTACTGCTTCAGTGCGCGAACTGGAGACACGCCGACGGGAAGCGTTTCGTGAAAGCTCGCCAAATCCAAAGCTACGAGTCCTTCACCCGACACTCTGCGAATGTGCAGCATGTCGGGCGCTAAACGGACAGGACTCGGACCCCAAAGAACAAGCTTTGCCGCATTGCTCGATTCGGACCGAGAAGGCTTGGAGTCCGGGAACAGCTCAGAATGTTGATCCATTTTATGCATATACACCGTGTGCTGATGTCGCCTCCTCGCCTAGCAAGTTGTGCTGTGTTGACCTCAAACCTAAATTTTACAACTCTAACCAATATCGGCAGTCCATTCAACATGTAACGCAGGAACCCGATTAAGAAACCTTGGGCCTTTTTTAGGGTTCTTTATGTGAATCCTATTTTGGGGGGGGTTATAGGCCCAGGGTTTCTTAGTCTTAAACAGGTTCCTACAGTATTTTAATACCCTTATAGATCCCTTATAGTAACCCTTATAGACCCCTTTAAAGGAACCCTTAGGCCCAAGGTTTCTTCATCAGCTTCCCATAAAACCACACGCTATCAAAATAAGAAAACCAGACCACCCTCGTCCCAGAAAGTATTTTCTTATACAGCGCTCCCGCTGTACCTTATTATTGGGTCCTTTGGAACCTTAGGGTAAAGGCATCGTAAAGCCGCCTAGAACCTACCCAAGGAGGGGTAAGTACCAATATGGGAGTTTCCGAAACTTGGGGTCCTTTGAAGGGGTTCCTTACAGGGATCTATAAGGGCTCTAAAAAGTGTTTAGGGTTTAGGGTTTAAAGTTTCCGAAAATAGGGGACCCTAATATTGTACCCCATGGCAATATAGTAGGATCCTAATTATAGGGACCCCCCAATATAAGGTACCCCTAATTAATTTTCGGAAACTCCCATATAAACTCTTATAGTAGCCCTTATAGTACCGTTATAGTAACCCTTCAAAGGAACCCTAACGTACCCCTAATTTTCGGAAACTCGCATATAGTAGGCAAGCTTAAGGCTTCGGGCTTCTTTTTATCTAGGGCCGAATTAGCCATTTTGAGCTACGGCCCAAACTCTAAACCCTAAAGCCTAAACTCTACAACCCAAATAAGAGAATCGAGGTTACAGTCATCCATGAAGTTCTCAGTGGTTTAAGGTTATATGATTACGTCAAAGGTACTATCAGCGCTTTTACAAGTTACAAGGCTGTAATGGGTGCACGTTCAGGTTTCGGGATAAGGGATTCAGCTCACCATAACCCGCTTAAACTATGCTGTAGGTAGGGCTTGGATTACCTGTAGTTACAGGAATGACTGAATACCTGGCTGCCGGCCCCCCAAACAAAACTGCTGCTTAGAGCATGACGTTAAGAACTCTTAACCATACCTAGACCTAAACCCCAAAAGTAGGTAAATTAATGGCCCAACTCCTCTAAAAGGCTATTATTCTACATACTTTTGGTGTCCAGGTACTCCCTAAAGGTCAAAGGGGATTCGCCTTCGCTTAGCATAGACTCTAGAATGTCCAAGAACTCCACGCCCAAACCGAGGTTTGGCCGAGCTTAGTAACAATAGTTGTCATTATCCCAGAGGGTCCAAGTACCCAAATAGTAGGGTTTTAGCTCCCAAAATCCATACTCTGAATGGCTTTTGGACCTTGATACCCTGATTACTAGTTGGGTACTTGTCTCCATTGTAGTTCCTTTGTGGGGGTTACCTTCTAGATTCTAGGATCCTTAAAATGTAATTGGTTAGACCAAAAGAAGAAACTACAATGGAGACTGTAGGTATGATAACAATAACATTAGAGTAGCAATCAAAATTATCATAATCATAGATAGAATATGGTGCTGTTTGAGGGTTCCTTTCGGGGCTCTATGAGGATTACTATGCGGGACCCAAAGGTTGAGTATAAATGCTTGATAGCTAGATGAAGAAACCCCAAGTGTTATCTTTTTACTTATTCAGGAAATTCAGGCCCCTATATTCATGCAAGACCGTGAAACTCTACCTGCTTAGGCCTTGGGTTTAGACTGCTAATACCAAAGGGGTCTGATGTGCCTATGGTACAGAAACAAAAGCATGTATGTGTGTATGTGTGTGTATATATAAAGCATCTGTATATGCGTATATAGTCATGTATGTGTGTTAACCTGACGCGGTTCCTTTTTTGTTTCTACCTACCCACCTACCTACGGATCGATCTGTCTATATGCAAATATAAACATTAAACAAACAACACAAGCATCTGTCTATCTGTCTATACGTAAAAATGTACATATATATATATACATATTTGTATGTATATATACATATACATACATACAAATATGTATATATATATATATATATATGCACATGTACATGCACATGCATGTACAAACCTCTGGGAATCGTGCTGGTCTCAGCGGGCAGCACCACCTCCCAATCGGTGAGAACAAACAGCAGCACTTCGAGAAGTACAGCTACCAGAGAGTTAAACTTTCAAGATCATACTCATATGCAAACCCTAAGCCCTAAACCTTAGTTGCTGACTTCACAAGCCCTAAAATAATGTAAACTTTCAGTTCTGCAGGGTAGCATTATGCCAAAAAGTGTAAGGTGTGCTCGTGCAGCTCCTGAGGCACGAACCATCGAATTTGGGGGTTATACGAGCCTTAACAGTTAGAATTATGCTGTTGGGCACGTTATACGAAAAAAACATAATGAGGAACCCTAAGGAATAGTATTGGTAATTGTTACGACTACTGTATTGCCGGTGTTTTCAGCCTCGACTTCCCCAACTACGCTCCGCGTTACGGCCCGAAGTTCCTAGTACCAGGAGGGTGTCCGGTACCACAAGCCATTCCTAGACCTAAGAGTAATCTAGGAATAAAAAGGATGCCCTTTTTGGTTTAAAGGGGGTTATAAGGGAACCTAAGCCTCAAAAAAGGGAATAAGGGCCTACTCCAGGTCCGAGACAAGCCATTCAGAGCAGAGCATTGGGTATTTGGGCTTTCGGTCCCGTAGGGCCAGTAGGAAGGAAGCCCATCCGGGCCCCCTTCACAGACCTATAGTCTCCATTGTAGTTCCTTTTTGGGGTTACCTTATAGGATCCTTACTATATAATCGGTAAAACCAAAAAAAGGAACTACAATGGAGACTACAGGATTTGGGGTTCCTCGTGGATCAGAAAGCTTCGGCAGTCGACGGGTTAACTGAACCTTGAACCCGAGAGCTTTTAGGGTGCAGGGTACCCAGACCTTCCAAAATCCCTTAATTAAGGAATATACCTTAAATTATATTAGGGATCCTATTATGAATTAAGGTATATTCCTTAATTAAGGGATTTTGGAAGGTCTGGGTATATAGGGCATAGGGGAGCTAGCGCTACGAAAGAAGCCAGACATGCAGGCGGGTTGGATGGCTGACTCAAGAGCTCGGGTGGAGAACTGCGCGTTCAACTTTTGGATAAGGGGTTAGGTTTCCGGGCCTAGAGCCCTATACAACCCATCGTTGAGGGTTCCTTTTGATTTCCTTGCAAAACTTCATAACCAGGTCAGGCAGGTAGGTAGGTAGATTCTTTGAGCTCTTCGGACTTAAGGTAACCCGATTGAAAAATGCAACCCTCAGCCGGGAAAGACCCGTTGCCTGCTCAGCCGCAGCAACTACAAAGACCTGGCCAAGCCAGAACGATTGGATTTCGGGTTTTTATATAATAAGGTTACCATCACCATGAGCTATTGTCGCATACGGCTCTACGTGGTCATATACGAATTACAGGGGCTCTGTGCAATGTCATAGGGCCTGCAACAAACTTTCAGTGGCATGTAGACTCCTATTAGTCTGGGCTGCCATAGGGGTCGCTTCTTTCTTCTCAATCACTACAGTAGTATACTGTCTTGGAGAACCCTGATTATGGTGGGATTCTGATGATAAGAACCACGATTGTTGAATCCATCACATGTCCTTTACCGAGGTCCCCCAAAAGCACGTGCCTACCCGAAGCAGCGACACCCAATGCTCCCACATCCTCAAGTCTGCTTTGAAGCTCTTTGGCTGAGTAACTTAGTAAGGGATCTATAGGGTTCCTTCAAGGAATCTATGGGGTTCCTTATAGAGATCGTTCCTTAAAGGGATGTGTAGGGTTTAGGATATAGGGTCTACTTGGAGGTTCATGGGACTTAGTCAGTACGGTTACAAGTACCTTCATTGGGGTTATAAGTGATTTATTTTATTACGTCCCATGATCCTTTGAGTACCCCCCCATCACCCCAATAAACATAACAACAACAACCGACCTTAGTAACCCACCAACGATTTCCAAAAAGCTGAGCTTCCAACTACCCTAAGGCTCCAAAGTAGTTCCTTTTGGGGGTTCATATATAGAATCCTATAAGGCAATCCCAAAAAGGAACTACTATGGAGCCTCCAACTAGACCCTAAACAAGCCTCCGCCAAAGCCGGGAGAACCTGCATGAACCCCACCTTAAACTACCATGCTTTAAAGTACCATAACCTACTTTCCTGCGGGGTACTCTGAATATAGAGTTTTTTGCGAGCCTGCAAAAAAATAGGTTGTGGTACTTCAATATACCGTCGTGTGCCTATCGCACCCTGCATGTCCTTTACAGTTCTTCCTACAAAAGGCTTCTGAAGCCCCTATCAAACCCTGACGACCCCTTAGACCCAACATACTACACGGCCTGAACATTAATACAACATTTTGCTTAAAGTTCCATTTGAGAACTAGAGACTGTAACAATACATACCCCCAACTTTGCTTGAATTCTTAGGCCCCTGTATTAAGCCCTAGAAACCCCTGTAAGTGAACCCCCATAAAAGAACACTGAAAAAGGCCTTCAAGGAACCCTGGTCCAGTATTATTAAGACCTCTATGCTAGGCGAGCTCTGGCCCAGAAGCACCCGCGCCTTCTTCACCCGTGGGTCGTCCCACATTGGCACCCGGTTCTCTTCCCGTGCCTTAGCTTAGGCTTTAGTGGTTTAGAGCCTTACTTGGAGGATCATGGGACTTAGTAAGTAGGGTTATAAGTGCCTTAATTGGGGTTAAAAGTAATCATAAGTATAGTTACCGTATTTATAACCCCACTTACTAAGTCCCATGATCCTTTAAG